ACTCTCCTTTGCCTGCGTGGCCATGCTCTGTTTAGGTGGTTGGACACATCAACTGAGGAAAGGCAGGCTGAGGTCTTCTCTGTTGCACTCGGCCTTTCTCAAACACCAGCAGGCTCATTTCAGAAGTGTAGGCCTACGGGCCTGGTGTGGGGGCTGACCACAGGGGCTGGTCCTGGCAGTAAGGACACAATCATATCAGCAGCAGGCAGTGCCCAGCCTGCACTATGTTCCTTGCGTGTACTCCTTCACCCTGCGGTGCTGATGGCGATGTCCCCAGATTCCTAAACCCACAGCAGTGGATTGTTCCCAGGAGGGACATTTGCCACAGAGCTTAATGCCAAGGGTTGTGCAGGCTGCAAAAAGACTTGCTTATGTATTCATTTAACCTCCTTTCAAGAAACAGCTGGCAAGGGTGCCAGGCTGGGGACAGTCCCTCCAGGGACTTGTCGGAGAGAAGTCCTGCTTATGTCTTGTTTTTTTCTTTTGAGAGTGCTGTAGATTCACATGCCGTTAGACACAAGAGCACAGAGACCCCATGGGCTCTCCACCCAGTGTGCCCCAAATGGGAACAGTGGGCAGAAGTATCCTACAAGACAATGGCGGGACACTGACATGGCATGCTCCACAGCCACATTCAGATTCCCATCTCACCTGTGTGTGCATGTGTTTAGTTCTATGCAATTTTTAAGATCATGGTAAACAGTACTTAACATACAACTCACCATTTAAACCATTTGTAAGTGCACAATTCACTGGCCTTAAGCACATTCACATTGCTGCATGACCATTGCCACCATCCATCTCTAGAAGTTTCTCATCTTCTGAAAGTGAAACTTGTTGCCCATTAAACACTAAGTTCTATGAGGTTTTTTGCATGTCGAGACCACAGCCTGTCTGAGGATCCAGGTGCTGCACTGTTATGGCCATAGCCACTTCCCACCCACCCAGTCCCCAACCTCTAACCACTGGTAACCTGTTCTCCATCTCCGTCATTTGTCACTCCAAGAATGCTGTAGAAACAGAATCCTAACCCGTAACCCCCAGATGCCGGCTGTCTAATCGGGGTGCCGTGGCATGGGAGCTCGCTCCTCCTCACTGCTGAGCAGTGTCCCACTCTAGCCTGTGGCTGTGCGCCCTATTAGTAAGTGTATTAGCATGTACCCAACGGGTGTACATTTATTGGAAATGAATGCCTCCCTCCTCTGTGCCAGCGCTGTCCCAGGCACTGGGCACAGTGAAAAGAGGTCTCTGTTCTCAACGAGCCAGGGGAGGGGGATGGATAGTGCAGGAGTGTCAGGTGGGGGACCCGTGCTGCACGCCCTGGTCCCCTACAGCCCACTAAAATGAAAGAAAGGAGGGAGACAAGGCATAGATGGGAGACTTCCACAAAGCTCTGGACGACCTGGCAGGCGGGCATGAGGCAGGCCGAGGGCATGCCCTCCTGCACCCTGGGAAGCCCTGCAGGGCTGGAGATTTGGCTTCGGGGCAGTGAAAGAGGAGTCCTGGGACAGAGAACGCCAGGCCTAGGGATGGTGCTCAAGGCTGAAAGTTGGAGAATTTAGAGAAATTTTGCATTGTGAAACTTGGACCTTCCATCTTTAGACCTGTTTCCAAAAGGTCAGCGGAGCCAGGTTACAGCCCAAGGCAGGTGCCCAGATGAAACCACTGGGGGTGACTATCAACAGCAGGGAGCCAACCAAGAAAGCAGGAGACGGGGCAGCACCCACAGCGGGTGGAACAAGGTCCTGAGGGCAGGGGAGGAGTCCTCTGGAGGGTGCCTCTCCCACTACCCCGCTGGGCAGCCAGGTGAGGGCAGGGGGCCAGAGGACACCAAGGGAACCTTCAGGAACAAAGGGAGGCTGCCTGCTGGAGAGCCCGGCAGATGTCACCAGCTGGCAGGGGACAGATGTTGCAAGACAGAAAACATACCAGGAGTACAGAGGAAACCAGGCAAAGGAACACAGGGCAAGAAAACAAGGGGCTAGACAGCCAGCCATGAGGCTTTGGCTCTACCACGCACAGTATGCTACCCTAACAGATTCTAGATCACCCTGTTGTGGGGGCTGGAGGCTGCTGTGAGGAAGCTGAGTCGTTACCCACCATGGGGAGATGTCCACAGACAATGCCCAATTGACAAACAGAAGCAATGGTTGAATAGTTTCTAGAAGCAGAGACCAATTCTTGCAGAAACAGCGAGAAGAGGTGGGGATGGCACACAGCTGGGATCTGAGGAGATGTGCCGCAGGGGCTGCTATTTCTCAGTATGTCTTTTAGTACCACGTGCCTTTAAAAAATAGTTTCAAACCACAAGAAACCCAAATGCACCTAATATCAGCCACTGTGCACTTGGTCAGTCCATAAATAATTATCAGGCACCTTCTCTAGGTCAGGTTGCCTGAAGCTGCTGGGGGCACAGCTGAGAAGAGACAAAGACCCAGCATCTGGAGGTGACCCTGGCACCCCGTGGGTGCTGAGAGCACGGGGCTGGCCTGTACCCGCTGGCACTTTTTCTGATTCAGTACTGCAGCCATGACTGTCTCAGGAATGAGTTGGTGCCTTCACGCACTTGCTACCAAAGACTGGCTCAGATGGCCATGTGGTTGGTGTACCCCTCCACTTATGGGAAATGTCTGGAAGAGCAAATATCCAGGGATAGAAAGCAGACCAGTGGTTGCTTGCAGCTAGTAGGAAGTGAGTGGGGGTGACTGCTCATGAGGATGGGGTTTTTATTTGGGGTGAAAACATTCTGGAGTTAGTGGTGACAGCTGTACAATCTTACAAATATACTAAAAACCACTGGATTGCACACTTTAAAATGGTGAATTTTATGGTACATGAATTATATCTCAATTAAAATAAATAAGACTGTGGCAAAAATTTCTGCTTCTGGGCCGGCCCGGTGGTGCACTCGGTAGAGTGCGGCGCTTGGGAGCGCGGCGGTGCTCCTGCGCGGGTTTGGATCCCATATAGAGACTGGTCCGCTCACTGGTTGAGTGCGGTGCGGGCGCGACACTAAGGGTTGCGATCCCGTTGCCGGTCGCAGTACGGGCACGACACCGAGGGTTGCGATCCCATTACCAGTCACGAAAAAAAGACAAAAAGGAAAAAAAATAAATAAATAAAAATAAAAATAAAAATAAAAAAACTTTCTGCTTCTAAAATAAAAGATGCGAACCAGGAAACCATGGGGAAACCAAGTCTAGCTTTACTTTCCTAAATGAGAACAGAGCGTTAGAGAGAAAAACCATCAACTTTTAAAACACGATGGCAAATGCTGTCTGTGTGGTAGAAGTCTTAGGGCTTTTTGTAGTAAGGGAAGTTTCAGGCAAAATTGGGGACACACAAATCCCCAGACGGAGATGGGATTCAGCAGAGCACCGCTGGTGAGTCCTAGCAGTCTGATGAGCCAGGCCCAGACCGAGGCCTTCAACCCTCGGGGAGGCTGGGCAGGGGGTTCCACGATGGGGCCAGAGCCGGGGAGGTGCCGTGACTCCCTCCTCCCAAGCGCATGGGGAGGCCCAGCACAAAGATGAAAACCATGGATAATTAACGCTCTCAGGCCTGGCTGGACTCTACAAAATCCTTTGTGAAAGAGAAGTAAATAGATGCAAACCCATCTCTGGCTTCTAGAACACAAGGACCTTTGAAATTATAAGACATTAAAATAAAGCTCCGGGTAAAAGGACTCTTCTGTTCTAGTTGCAGATTTGATGTTAGATCAAAACTGAATTGCTCCTGAAAGCTCAGGCGCTGGCTTATTACTTGAGGAGCGGCGTGCCCAAACTCAGTGGGCCACGCTTCGCTGGCAGCTGTGGCTCCTCTGGGACCCTGTGGCTCATTTCACTCTGTGGCAGCTCTTTCTCTCCAAAGGGCCAAAGCTCCCCTTCTCTGACCACCCTCTCTGTTTGTGTCCCCTCCAATTTATTCCTAAGGGCTCTCAGGGACATGTCAGAACACCAGACATCATTTACCTGCCCTCATCCTGTGGCCCACCTACAGCCCATGAGAGGCCGGGGCATGAATGTGGGCTGCATGCAACCAATTACTCGAATGTAGACTTAAACCACATGATAGAAAGGAGGTCGCTTTCTATAGCGCTGCAGCCTTAAACAGCAAGCACAGGACTCTCTTCACTGCCATCCCACCTCGGAAAGAAGGCTGGAGCTCCTTCCCACAGTCTAAGGGAAGTCCTCATGTCTGCCTGGCTCAGGGCAAGGGCTCTCCAAATTCCCAACGGAGCTGAGTGGAAGGAGCCCCACATTCCTCCTATGTCTCTGGCCATATCCTGCTGTATCCTGCCCGTGATGTGGCCACCTGTTGGGAACAATGTGGACACAGGCAGGGCCCATGCCACTTCAGTTAACAGCTCACTTGTGCACACTGAAGCTGAGCCAGAGACCATGCGTCCTGGCTCAGACACTGTGCATTCAGTCATGAAGCCCGAATGCCTGGCATCTGGCTCCAACAGCACAGAGCAGCACTTGAGCTGGCCCTTACTGCCTTTCGCAGATGGCTGCTGGGAAAGCGGAAACACCTCTTGTCCCTGAGACCCCTTGTGCAGCAGAGCACAGCTAAGAGGCTGGCACTTAGGCAGTTCTGCACTGCAGGGCTGTCATATGGTTGGGCAGCCCAACCCCTCCGTGGAAACCTTTGCCACCAGCCGCTAGAATGGAGGGCAACTGTGCTGAAAAGCACAGGTCAGCACCTGTGGCCCTGGGTCCCAGCCCAGCTGCCCCGTGAGTTTGGCCATGAGGCTGCACACGTGTAGCAGCAGTCAATGACATCAGCCATCAGCATGGCCTTCCCATAATTAGTGCCAATCAGCACAAATGAGCCAATCTCAACAAATTGGTCAGCAAAGATGACAGGTGCACAAAGCACTGGGGAGCAGACTGGGTGGGCTTCAGGTGGCACGAACGTTCTGCCACCCAAGGGAGTCCTAGGCCAAAGGGTGGGGGGCCCTCGGGGGGAGAAGACAGAAGCAGCAACACGGTCACACATTTACGAGACAGTTTCTCCATACATTCAAGGCCACCAATGTTTCATATTGGGTTTGCTCGTGCAGTTGTCTGTGCCCCACACCAGCCTCTTGTTCCTGGAGGACACTGCCCACGGCTACCACCTGAGTGGTTGGCAGCCCTGCCCCAGCTCGACCTCCACGTAGGCATCATGAAGCACCTTCAGGTGCAGCAGCAGCTGCTCCAGGTTCTCCCCGGTTGCTGCCGACAGGGCGATGACCTCCTGTCCCAGGCGGGCCCGCAGCTCAGGCAGATTGGCTCTAGCCTGCGGAAGATCGATCTTATTCGCGACGACTGCGTGGGGCCTCTCTGACAAGCCATCTTCATATTTCTTGAGCTCATATTTCAAATCCTCTACCTGAGTCCACGGCTCTGGCAGGGAAAGATCCACCACATACAAGAGAAAGCGGCAGCGCTCAATGTGCTTGAGGAAGGTGAGACCCAAGCCCCTGCTCTGGTGGGCGCCCCGGATGATGCCAGGGATGTCGGCCACTGTGGAGACAGGAGCACACAGGTCACGCCAACCACTCCCCACCCAGGATGACTGTCAACCTTGTGTGTGGGAGGGGGCCCCACACACAAGAGGGTCCATGTCTGTGGCTGGATCTGCTGAGTTACGAGACAATCCTTTCAGGGAATACCAAAAACTTAAGGCATTCAACTTACTACCTTGGTGGTTCATCAGGCCAAACGACCCCCAAGACACTTCAGCTCCCAGTTTGCAACATGCTTTGAAATATTTGGGTGACAGGCATGACAGCGGATCAATCTAACAAGGAATATTTAACACATTCTTGTCTTTCTTATTTCGAAATGATTCAAAAACATGGAAAATGGCTTCCTGTACTCTATTAATAATTTGATTACCGATAGAAATTATTATAGAGGGGCCGGCCCGGTGGCGCACTGCTACAGTGCGCCGCTTGGGAGCGCGGTGGCGCTCCCGCCGAGGGTTCGGATCCCACATACAGACCGGTTCCCGCTCACTGGCTGAGCGAGGTGCAGGCGCAACACCGAGGGTTGCGATCCCGTTGCCGGTCCCGGTCCGGTACGGGCGTGACACTGAGGGTTGTGATCTGTTGCCGGACACGAAAAAAGACAAAAAAAAGGAAAAAAAAAAAAGAAATTATTATAGAGAACTTTGCAAATATAAAGTGCTATTCAAATAACCTTACCAGCAGGCTTACTATTTTTTTTTCTTCCTTTTTGTTTTTTTTACTGACCGGTAACGGGATCGCAACCCTCGGCGCTGGGCCCGCACCGTGCTCAGCCAGTGAGCGGGAACCGGTCTCCACATGGGATCCGAACCCCCGGCGGGAGCGCCGCCGCGCTCCCAAGCGGTGCACTCTCCAGTGCGCCACCGGGCCGGCCCGCAGGCTTACTATTTTTATGGGTACATTATCTTCTGGAAAAGTTTTATTCTCTCAAAACGGCACAGGGAAAGCTTTCTAAATCACATGTTGTCTACACGACTGATGCTGCTGAGTTTGCAGATGGAAGAGAAGAGTCAATGCAGTGAGAAGAAATAACATCTCCAGGTTTGAAATCTAAACTCAAATTTCTGAACTGTAACTAACAGATTCCTGGGGGATGGGGTGGGATGATAATTTTGATAGAGAACAGACTCACTACAATTATTTAAATTAGGAAAAACAATGCTACATTTTAAATAGGAAGCTAAATTTAAGAGTTACATAATTATTTTTCTGAGTGTGTGTGCATGCACGCACGCCAGCCATTATTGGATATCATAGTTAATTGCTATTGTTAGATGTACGCCTCCTTTTGCCAGACCCCTCCCCACTCTGTGCGCTCAGTATAGGGCTGAGGCGTGTCTTCTACAATCCTCCTCTATCAGCTGGAACATCAAAGCTGTGCCCTGCCTTTTTCTGCCCAGTTTTTTTTTTATTTTTTTTTTTTTTTTTTTTTGAGTGCTTTTTTGTTTGTTTGTGTTTTTGAGTGGAGGTTGACTGTTATGGGGATCTGAATTGATGACCTTGGTATTATAAGGCTGTGCTCTAACCAACTGAGCTAACTGGCCAGCCTTTGAGCAGAATTTTGGAAGCCCTACCTGCTACTTGCTGATGGCCTTCATAGTGAACAATCCCGATGTGAGGATTTAAGGTAGTAAATGGGTAGGAAGCCACAGCAGGTTTTGCATTCGAGATGGCTCGGAGGAGTGAGGACTTCCCAGCATTGGGGAATCCAACCTGGAAGAAAAGGTGGAGACAGTCAGGAGGGTCTTCGGAAGTGACCTCATTACTGCAGAGTAAGTAACTAATCGAGACCAAGGCAGGGAAGCATCAGGCTGGAGGACTTAATGAGTGCACAGGCTCAGGTACCACTTAACAGTGTGCTGATGGGAAAAGGTGGGCCATGAGTCATTAGCCTCGTCTAGGCCAGTAGCGTATCCTGCCATCAGGGGCAGAAGGGACACCCACCATCCCAGCATGTGCCACCGTCTTCAGCTCTAGGTAGAGAATCCGCTCCTGACCCGGCTGTCCAGGGGTACAAGTCACAGGGGCACGGTTGTCATTGGCCAGGAAAAAGCGGTTGCCTTTTCCTCCTGCCCCACCTAGTGCGGCAATGTACTCATCACCTGGGCGAGACAGGTCAGCCACAATTTCATCTCCCTCCTTCACTAGCGTACCCACAGGGACCTGGAAGATAGCACGGCGTGTACATGGTAAGTTGAATGAATACTGAGGAAAGATGATCTTAACCATTCCTTATGTAAATGCTGGGGGAAGAACAGAAGAGCAGACTGCACCTAGGTGGCTATACAATTCTGGAACGGGGGGTGGGATAGGACACCACAAACCTCGTCCTCCAGAGCTACAAAGTACAGGACAAGATTCAGGCCCCCAAAGGATTTTACAGACATTTTTACATACATTTCGAGTGACATATATGGCTTTTTGAAATAGTGTCTCTAAAATAGGGTGAACTGAAATATCCAGTTAGGGTGAACTGAAATATCCAGAAAAAACAGCTCTCTAAGAGATGAGTAAGCTCTCAGCTCATGAAAATGCCTCTTGGGGCTGTTGGGTGACAATGGCCTCCCTCAGCCAGAGGGCAGCTCATAGGGCCGCTCATAGGGCTAGAGACAAAAGAAAGAGCGTGCTGTGTGGATTCCCTCTTTTTTGTTATCTCATGGTTTTTTTTTTACAACGTCAGACATACACATGGCATAACACTAGTGCAGAGGTCTTTGTCTAGGGCCTTGCTTCACAGGGATGGAACTGCTCCGACTATCTCTGGGCCTCTGTTTCTGTCATGCTACTTCCTGGCTGTTATGCCTTGGGTCCCCTGAGTCACACCATGGACCTAAGACACTGGATGATCCAGAACAACGGGAATAGTGCTAGCTCCAGCAGCCTCGGCTTACCCGGATGTAGAGGACAGAGCCACCTCGCCCGAAGCAGTTCTTCCTACCACCATCTTCTCCATCGAAACCCTGATACTGGGACAGGACTGACGACAGGGACTTGACTTGCTGGTCAACTAAAGTCAGAGCAAGAACCTTCACATTCCTTTGTGTTAAAACAGAATTGCCTCCTATTGCCAAGGTTCTCTGGTCTAGCTCAAGAACCTTAAAAACGCATATAGAAACATAAGATGGGGCCGGCCCGGTGGCGCACTGATATAGTGCGCCGCTTGGGAAGCGCGGTGGCGCTCCCGCCGAGGGTTCGGATCCCACATACAGACCAGTTCCCGCTCACTGGCTGAGCGAGGCGCGGGAGCAACACCAAGGGCTGCGATCCCGTTGCCGGTCCTGGTCCGGTACGGGGGCGACACTGAGGGTTGCGATCCGTTGCCGGACACGGAAAAAGACAAAAAAAAAAAAAAAAAAGAAACATAAGACGTAGCAGAAGTTACCTTGATTTTTAAAAAAGCTAAATTCTTATTTTCCTTCAAAAAATACTACCATTTCTGAAAAATCTGAAGTTAGTCATAATGCCATCATCAATTAAAAAAACAGCTATACTTTATTATGTTGTGAATGTTTTTGCTCCTAGGTTAGTATGGATTTATGCTAAATGTATGCTGAATATAATCAACACGCTCTTCAGCATTTACTGAGCTATTACTAATACAGATTTTATCCTCTGACATGTACTACATTAGATTCCCTGATATTAAACTATCTTTGTGTTCCTAAAATTAAGAAACAAAAAACACAAAGTTGCTTTTTTTGGTGCAATATTTAACTATGAACATTCACATAATTTATAAAGATGATGTCCATACATCAAGTTTTCAAATGCATGTTAGGATAAGAATGTGGAACTTCCCATCCCGGAGATGTGTGGACTCAGCACTCCTCCCCGAGCTGTTTTCCAGGGCACCTGCCTCTCAGGATGACATGGCCGCCATTGCCTCCATCCCCACCATCGGGGCCTCCAAACTCCTTGCGAGGCTCACTGTGGAAGCAGCTTGCCCCAGCACCTCCACTTCCGCCACGGACGAGCACTCTCCGATGGTCCACAAAATGCCTTTTCTACAGAGAGCACAAAGCATCCCACGTTGTTATCAACACTCCAAAATCCTTTCCAGAGACTGAATAGCCACTTGAAATGTAGCTTTTCTATGACAGGCTATTAGAATTAGAAATTAATGATATCAATACTGCTAATCTCTCCTATTTGTAGGCCAAGGTAAATCAGCAGTGCAGAGGTACAGTGTGGTCAGTGGAATACACACTTCAGAAATGAACTGAACACGGGCCGGCCCTGTGGCTCACTCGGGAGAGTGCGGTGCTGACAACACCAAGTCAAGGGTTAAGATCCCCTTACCGGTCATCTTTAAAAAAAAAAAAAAAAAAATGAAATGAACTGAACACTTCTCACTTATAGAAAACACAGCTTGTTTAAAAAAATATTCCTTAAATAAAGTGTCTTTTCAGCTTTTTTCAAATAAAACACATTGCTGAAACAACAGGTCTTTACTAATAGAAAGTGCTAGCTCCTTAGGATGCAACAGAAAATGAGAACATTAGTGTCCCTCTTGGACAATTACCAGGCTTCAAACTATGGAGAAGGAACATCTCCTGTGGCGTAAAATAGAGCTCATTTTAAAAACGAAGTGACGAAAACAGAGCCCCTTATCTAAGAGCATTTCTTCATCCCTCAAGTAGGCACAATCTAGCTAAAGAATCAGAACTAACTAGGTTAACATGTAGTACACACTAGTTCACACTATGAGAATTTCAGCTGCTGAGGTCCTGGGTGCAGGAAGATGCCTGCTTTCCAGTGTATGCAGAGACAGACCTGCTCTGCAGCCCAAGAGCCACCCACAGCCCCTCCTCAGGCACCAGAGCACCTGCATTTCCATCCACTACTCCATAAACACATTTTTTTTTTAATTAAAGAAAACACAAATATTTTAAGATTCTCTGGCACCACCATGTGGAAAAACCACGAATTACTATTTCAAAAACTCAATGTGGAATTTCACTGTGGGCCAACATGATCAAAATCAATCTGACAAGAAGAAAAGCAGAGCTGGCAAGCACTGTGTAGAAGAGGAAATGCAGACTCCCTTCTCATCTTCTGGGGCAGACATGAATACCATGTGGGACCTTCAGCTACTGGAGTTTATGGCCTGATCATCACTATCTGGCCTACTGACACTTGTCTGGAGGCACCCATTTAGGAAGGAATAAAGTGAGTCATAAACTTGTATTTTCTTGAATTTAGTCAAACGTCACTCATGTATTTAATAGAAGGTTTTAATAAACAGAAGAAAAACTTGTAAGGTTTAAGGAACTATAAAACTAAAGGTCTACTCCCCCAGATGTTTTAAGTTAAGAACGACTCACACATATTAAAACAATCTATGTAACCACATGTAAGATACGCAGGCTGGCAGCACAACGAGCAGCCCTGCACCCCGGTGCAGCCTAAGACTGAGTGTGCCGGGAGACTGAGATGCCCTGGCCCCGGCTGCTGCCCTGTTGGGACAGCGCAGTGCTTAGCACACAGGCCTGCATTTCACCTCATCATTTTCAACAGGCTCCACATATCCCTTTAATAACGTAAAGAAGAGAACTCCCTGTGCCTTCTGGGAGAGACACTGCAGCAAAGTGCTCTAGGTTGCAAAGTCTCACCATTTTTTTCTCGGAGAGCGGCTTCTTTCTGGGGGGCTCCTGATGCTTGGCACGGTCCACACAGCCGACAGTGAGCAGCCTGGGAGAGGCCTGCTGTGAGAGGAGCTGGCCAGGCTTGAGGCCAGCCGTTGGGGATGGAGCCCATCGCCCCATGGCCTCAAACATGGTCTGCGATCTTGCTGAGAAAAGCCTCAAGGTCATCATGATCCCTAATAAAAGCCAAATTGGCAAAATAAGATACTTGGTTTAGACCTGAACATCAAACTGATACTAAAGACAAGTGCCAGGCACAAAGAGGAACATGTGCGTGATACACCGATGAGCCCGACTACTTTCTCATGTCATTCACCACTCTCCACGCTGAATCATGCTGTGTCCTCTGGCCCCTGACAGCCTATTTGCTACTTGGATGCAGGATTTAAGGACTGAAATCATTAAGTCTCCCACAACACTGGACATACCCCCCTACAGAATATTGAGTATCTACTCAACGAAAACATTAAAAAGGAAATCTGAACCTCAAGTCAGAACTTCTTCACAGTAAGACGCCCATTTACTTGGTTGTTAGAGTATGCTATCTTGTGCAGTTGTAAACTCATCAAGCTGGATATGACAAGAATATTAAACACGGGGTGACCTAGACTGCAGAAACAAACTCCCACATCCGCCACTCATCTGGGGGTGACCCACGGAAGGTAGCACACCTATGCCGTACAGTCCCTCACCTGAGACTGGACAGGGCTGGGTGAGGACAGGGTGAGCTGACTCACATGGATGCATGGAAGCAGGGCCTGCTGGCATACTGGGACATAATGATAAATACATACTTGATCCCCGCCCCAGTTCCTGCCCAAGCTCCCAGAACCCTTCTAGTTTCCTGAGCCATGGGGCAATAGCAACATGAGACACAGAGCTCCTAAGTCCCTTGTAATTTCCTAAGTGACAGGAGAGGCTTCTGTTCTAATGAGGCCTCTCTTGGTGGGCCCCTAGACAGCTTCAGGATGGGGACTGGTCAGCAGAAAGACCAAGCCCTGAGGGAAGCTTGGGACTCTCTGCCCCACCGTCTATCCTCCGGGAGGAAGAGGGCTGAAGACTGAGTTAATGATTGTGTCTACATGAGGAAGCCTCCATAAACACCCCTAACAGATGGGGTTCAGAGAGCTTCCAGGGTGGTGATCATGTACTGGGAGAGTGGTGCACCCTATCTCCATGGGGACAGAAGCTCCTGTGCTGGAGACCCTTCTCGACTTCGCCCCATGTACCTCTCCATCTGGCTGTCATCTGTATCCTTAGCAGTATCCTTTATAATAAACTGGTAAATGCAAACAAAAGTATTTTCCTGAGTTCTGTGAGCTGTCACAGCAAATTATTGAACCTGAGGAGCGCTGTGTGGGAACCTGGTCTGTAGCTAAACCCGACAGCAGTGTGGGTACCCCAGCATCTGAAGTGGGGGGTGGTAGAAACAGATCTCAGCAGCAGCCACACTGGCACACGTATGTACCATCATTCATGAAGTGTCATTCATTAAACAGCTCGTGACAGCAGAGTATCTTGTAGGTGCAGAGGGTGATGTGAGGAAGACATGGGCACAGCCCTCCAGAAGAGAACAGCCCTCTTCCCTTTGCTCTGACTACAAACCTCTGCCTTACTACATGCAAGATACTGTCCTAAATATTTTTCAGGGATTTACTCATTTAGTCCTCATAAAAACTGTGAATAAAGTACTTTTATTATCCCCATTTTACAGATGAGGAAACTGAGGCACGAGATAAGTGACTTACAGAATTATCAGATGGGAAAGGATAAAGGTGGAGTGAGAAAACAGGTTAAGCGGAAATAACAACTCATGTTTCTTCGATACAAGCCCACAGCTAAGCCTGCTGGAAAGTTATGCCATCCATTCCGGATGTGTTGGAAACCAGGCTTCCTGGCACTGGTGACACAAAACCCAAAGATCAACCGCAGAGAAGGTGGTCAAAGCCAACCAGAGACCTGAACTCTGAGTATTGCCTAATGTGGCATAATTCCTTTTTGCTCTTTCAATTTCTATTTGGGGGAGATCTGCCGAGTAATATGGCTCCCCTTGTCAGGTGAACAAATTCTACTCTGTTCCACACCACTATTTGGCAGTTTTTATTTTCCTTCTAACAAGGCTATTCTTGCACTGTCCAATACACTAACCACTAGCTACATGTGGCTACTAAGTTTACATTAATTAAAATTAAATAAAATGTAAAATCTCAGTTCCTCAGTCACACAAGCCACATTTCAAGTGCTCATAGACACGTGTGGCCAGAGGGTACTTTATTTGACAGCACAAACCAGAACATTTCCATCATCACAGAAAGTTCTACTGGAGATTGTTGGTCTATACGTTGCAGCAGGGCCCAGAAAAATGAACTCAAATTCCTCTTAATAACATCCATTTACCGGGCACAGTTCAGCATGGTACAGATGACAAGCCAGTGGTGAAAGCCCAGGAAACCGAGTCTGACAGAGACTGAGATGTTTTATGATTATAGGACAGAGCTCTTAAAAATGCCTGGAAAGGGCCGGCCCGTGGCTCACTCGGGAGAGTGCGGTGCTGATAGCACCAAGGCCCCGGGTTTGGATCCCACATAGGGATGGCCGGTTCGCTCACTGGCTGAGCGTGGTGCTGACAACACCAAGTCAAGGGTTAAGATCCCCTTACTGGTCATCTTTAAAAAAAAAAAAAAAAAAATGCCTGGAAAGGCACTTAATACATGGAAGGGCTCCAGTTAAGGCACTGCAACTGTTAGTCTATGAAATGTTAAGGTCAGTGTCTACTGGTCCACAGAAGTTAAATCTTCCTCTAAACCTTCTGTACGGATTTTTAAATGTATTCCTTATGACCCTGTGAGGGAAATACTGCACGCTGGGCTGTCCCAGACCAGCTTCCCACCCTGCTCTGTCTGGAGCCTGCTCTCCAGCAGACCGGGGGAAAGAGCACGGGGGGTGGGACATGTACTTCCCTGTCCACAGACGAAAGATCACACCTGGTCAAGGACGCCCTGTCTAGGGACTCTCCTCTCCGAGTTCTGACAACTGTGCTCTCCCCTACCGTGTGGAGTCCAGGGATAGACACAGCTCCACTGCCAGTCACCAGCTCTACCAGAGCAGCAACTCTTTCCCCACGCCCGCCCTCCTCTCCACGCCCGCCGTTGTCAGCCGCCGGGTACAAACGCTGAAGTTGTCCCGCATGCGCGTGGCGTCCGTTCTCGATCCTTAGTTTTTACACGCTCACACAAACACGTGGACCCTGAGACTCAGAGGGCTTAAGTCACTTGCCCAGAGTCACACAGCGTCCCGCGGCCTGTGGCACTTTCCCGGCGCCCGTATTTTACAGCAAGACTGTCCACACCGAGGTACACGGAGGCAAAGACTCCCCAGGTTTCCGAGGGGACGTTAAAGGAACCGATTTTCTGCTTCCCGGCTCCTAGTGTGTCCCCTTGCTAAGACAGGCCCGCCTGAGAACAGACTCGCACGGAGGACGCGAGTCCCTTCCACAGTGGGTCCTCTTCTTCACAAAGGACACGCCCTCTAGGGACAGAGCCCACACCAACTGCTTTGGCTCCCGTGTGCGCATCCGTGCGGGCGACATCTCAGGGACCCGACTGCAGAAGCGCCGGAGAGGGGCGCGGCCGGCGGCGAGGCGCCTCTCCGCAGCGCCCACCGGCGGGACGATTGTGCTCTCGCTCGAGCTCTCGCTCCACCACGCGCGGCACGCCAGCCCTGCGCGGTGCACCGCTCACCGGAGGGAGCGCCCGGCCCGGAACGCCGCGGAGGAGCAGGCGGGGGCAAGGACGGCCCAGGATCCCGCCCCCCGCTCCCGGCCCCTCGTCCCCTCACGCCCCTCCGTTCCTCCTTCACCCCCGCCCGTGGCGCCCTGCCCACCGGCACCCTCACACTCACAGTCGCGGAACGTCACAGCACTTCCGGGGCTCCGGATGCAGCCGACTGCTTCCGGGGCTCGGGCTCGCGCGCGCCTGCGCACACGTCCCCCTCCGCTCCCGGCGTCGAGCCAGGCGGCTGCTTTGCACCGCGCGTCTTTGTCGCGCCCCGCCTCCCCGCGCGCCCTGCCGTGGAGCAGAGAAATGACGTGAGTCCCTTCAGCTTGATGAAGCTCCCTTGGTGGGAAGATTCTCGAAGAACCAGTTTATTGAGAGATGACACCGGCAGCATAAACAACTTACGCCAAACTCCGACTGAAAAAATAAATCAACCGATAGGGACGTCTTGAGCACGCACCGTCCTCGCAGACGACAGAACGAACTTGAGCCGCTCAGTAAACAAACGAAGCGAGGGCCGGGAGCCTCCCCGCGGAGAAGCAAAGGCCCTGTTTCTGCGACCTGGGCGGACGCCCCGCGCTCAAGCCCGCGCGGGCGCTGCTGACGGAATCGCGGCTCTGACAGAACCGAGGCCCGGCCGCCTCCTTCCCGGCCCTCGGCGCCATCCGCGACGACGCACGGGCTCTGAAGGGCTTTTCAAAATGCGAGTCCGAACACCCCGGCGACGCAGCGCCCGCCTGAGGGGCGAGCAGTCTTCCACACAATGTGGACTTGTCGGCGCCTCGAAACTGCGGAGCCATTTTCGCGTCCCTATGTGCGTGGTGTCGGGTGGGCAGGAGGACGGGGCGCGGGCCTTGGTACAAGGGGTCACAGAACGAAGTGCTGCCCCGCACACCGCGCGGACGGTTCGCTTCAGCCCAGGGTTTCCACGTCGTGTTGCAGAGGAGAAGGTCCAGTACAGGCAATGAAGGAGCGCTGCCGGCGCCATGCTCCCCACAGTGTCACACGAAAATGGACAACACGTTAAATAAACATTCCGTTATCAGTCGTTAAATATATTAACACCAGAAATCATGTATAAATTAGGAAACAAATGTACAAACTATCTCACAAAGTGCTTTTTTAAATATATACACAACATTCAAGAAATTCTTAATGTAAGACATTTCAGATTGAGAAACGTTTTCTGACCGTCCTTTTCTTTCAAAAAGCATTAATACAGCACTTAAAAAAAAAATACATAAAAGGCATATTTCGAGATTGGCAAGGAATAAAAATAAACAATTTTCACAGTTATCTAGAATGCTTAACATTTTCAATGGGAAATTTTAGTCCCCGATTGAGTTTGCAAATTAGCTCTGTGAAAACTGTCAGAGAGAGAAAGAACAAAATCAAGAGAAATGACTCCCTAAATGAAATTGCTAATACCTTTATCATTCAGCAATTACCAACTCTGACTTCAGTAATTTAATATGGACATACAGAAATATTTTTAAGCCCTTACCAGTGCTAAGGGTTTTTGAAACCCTTATGCCCATAAAATAAATGCTTATATCCCCACGTTTGCATGGTATCTGTCCCACAGAAGACGGGAGAATATCCTAACACAGGCAAATCCTTTAATCTGAGCCTTGGTTCTTCATCTGTAAAATGGGAACAGTAACTGCCTCCATGTTTCCCAGTATGGGCTGTCAGGACTCATTCAAGCAAAACACATAAAAGTGCCTTGTGAATTCTGAAGCACTCAACTCTGGGTAGTGAATTACTTTTAATATTTAAAAATAAAATTTATCAATTAAAGAAAAACATCATCACCAGTAGGCCTAATATATCAAGCATTGGATATTTTTTGTATTTTCTTGGTACTTCTTGGAAACATATCAGCATTTATCCAAATATTTTTCTTTTAGGGATTCATAGTAAATATAAATATTATTATCCAAGTACAGGATGATCAAATACCCATGCTACTTATTAGTGGAAATGTAGGATTTTTCCTTTGACCATCATTTTCCAAGTAAGCTGTCTTTAATGTTTGCATGGAATTTAAATAGGATTGAATGTCCTAGGACTTTGAAAAGTTACTCAAATTTCTCTATACAAAACCTTTACTTTTCATTAGAAAGAACACAGTAAAATTACTAGGATTCCTTTTAAAAACAGGATGTGAATTTCTGACACCCCTAAAAGAAAAGGCATGCTTGCTTACAGATCTGAACAAGTAGTCCCTAAAAGAAATAAAATAAAATAAACAACTTGCCAAGTGTTTGGAAAAGCTGGTATCAATATTTTAAATTATAAATTTAGAATGGGCATATTGAATATTCAAATCCTAGAAATGACTGTCAGAAAAGCAAGAGCCAAAACCAAAGTAATTTCTAACAGCCAAATTCCTAGAGGTCTGCCCTCTCTTTTTTTCAGGAGTAGCACTCTCCTGGGTTAGGCTAATCATACGTTGCCCTCGTGGACTCATATTTGTTTGGAATATAGTCATTGATCCCTCTTTACTTTCTAATACAAACACACACACCCTTTCTGGGTAAACAGAATTGGCAAGAGACACAGGTATGAACAAGCTCAGAAAGGAGTGCTGCCAGCCTCTCCAACTGACGCGTGTTTATCCTTTTTATTGTGTGTCAGAATCTGACCCGAAACACAGAAGACACCCTCTCACCCACCCCACTGAGGCACAGGAAGAGGCTGCCATCCAGGGGCTGCGTGTGTGTCAAGCTGTGGTGTAGCCAGTTAAAGAAAAGTTTACAAGCCACATCATGACCACTGTATGAGGAGAGAAATTAGACCTAAGGTCTGTTTCTATGAATATGTGAACTAGGGTGTCTTTCAGATACGTCCCATCACTGGGCACAGGATACTCTGATGACAAATTGACCCCCAAAGCTAGCTAGAAACATTGAGAACGGGTTGAGGGGACAAATAAAGGACAACCTCTCCATTGTATCAACATACAATACTATACACAGCACCAAATATGTCACACCATCAAAGCGCTGTCTTGTGCCAAGGTGCACGCTCGGCGTTACCCAGCATGAAATGAGCACGCTTCACATGCAGACGTGGCACTGGGCGAAGGGGCAACCAACAAGTCTCAGTTCATTAGAACTGCCACCGGCCCATCCATCCCCTGGATGAACACGCTACCACAAGGGCTCCAACAAGAACGCTTGTCTCTTATTGCTGGTAATTTCCATACTGGCCCTAAAAGAGATCAAGACATAGATTATACCCCTTCAGTCATGAGTAAAAGGGTCCACACCCATAGGTAAGACAGACCCCCACCCCCAGCCAGCATCCAGGAAAGGAGATGGAAGGAGGTACAGAGGCAAGCAGGAAACAGCCTTCTGCCCACATCTCTGAGACAGGGAGGTAGCCAGCTCTCTAGAAACCCCTATCCAAGCCTGTGGCTAATGATTTACATCAGAAATGGCCAAGAGGTTGATTCATTCAGTCTTACACCGGGCTCCCTGTGGGCAGGGCCTGTGCCAGGTGCTGTACATCAGACCCTTACACTGACCCTGCCAGTAAGGAAGGCTCCCCCCAACCCCCGGTTCATCCCCGCAAGGGACCGAGCTCCCATGGGTGACTGATGGGCACCAGGGCCAATGCCAATGCTGGCTGCCCACCCCCAGCCTGCTGAAGTAAGAAATCCAGGGTGGGTTGACCAGGGTAACAAGTTTTAGTCAATACAAAATATGAATTTGAGAGTTAGAGATCCCATGTCCAGCAAGGCCCCAGGACAGGAGGGTTCTATGTGGTCAGTTATCTGACCCATGATGAAGAGTCACGTAGAAAACTGCTGTAGTTTAAGGAAACCAGTCACTCATCTGGATGCCCTGATTCTCCATTCACAACCCCCTCCAACTAGTTAATAATAAGGCTTCCTGAGTACCCACAGCAGGAAGTTAGTGGGGGAAGGAAAGCTGTCAGGGTCTGACCGAGAACCCCATTCGCATAGTAGGGTATGTTCCTGGTGTAACCTAGGACGTTCTGAGTCTAGCTAGCAGGAACCAATTTTAATCAGTCTTTCTGCCCCTGCACAACTGTATAAAATAGAAAACCCCAAATCTGGAGCTCATCAGCTGAAAGAACAGCAATCCTCAAGCCCTAAAACAGCTGGGCAGCCCCTGAAAGCTCATCACATGTCAAGCCTAGCCCAGTGGTTCTCAAATGGGACAATTTTGCTCCCAGGGGATATCTGGCAACATCTGGAGATAGTTTGGTTCAGAATTCAGGGGCAGTGGTGGGGGTGCTACCAGCATTCATATGCAGAGGCCAGGAATGCTGCAAAAACACCCTACAGTGCACACAATGGCCCCCAGTGCTGGCAGCGCCGAGGTTGAGACATGGCCTCCAGTTAAGCTTGAATCCTATTAAACTACACTAAACTAATATCTTGGAGTTAGATGGACAACTTTCCCCCTTAAATGTGAAATTCTCCATCTTCTTCATTGCTCCGTGTCTTTTCTATAAGTAGACATAAAGTTATATGTTCTCTGGTTCCATCTGCAACTAAATTAGAACATTCACTTGTTATTCTACAAAGTCCAAAGAAATTATTTTCAGGGCTCTATTAAGGAGACATCTTGTCTCATCAAATCATCCTAATAATTCTTTTTTTTTTTTTTTTTAAAGATGACCGGTAAGGGGATCTTAACCCTTGACTTGGTGTTGTCAGCACCATGCTCACCCAGTGAGCAAACCGGCCATCCCTATATAGGATCTGAACCCATAGCCTTGGCGTTATCAACATCACACTCTCTTGAGTGAGCCACGGGCCAGCCCTCTAATAATTCAAATTTAACATCAAGCTGCAGACTGTCTCCCTTTCAAACTCCAGCATGACGCACCTGTGCAGGCGCTGCTCCGGGCACGAACCTGTGTGCCGGGGAGGGGCGTCCCTTCACGGCCATGGTGCCTCCGCAATGTCCATGTGGAACACTTCTGAACTATTTTCTTAAATACCAAACAGATTTGCTCCTCTAATTGTTCTTCCCTGATAGCTGTCTTGTTTTACACTGTGTTGAAATTCAAACTTCTCTACATGTAACTGATTTATCCCTTACTGTCTTCAGGGAAGACAAGCAGCATTTAAAAAATCATATATGCCATCTTATCTACTCAATTACCTGAGAAAAACAACTGTAATCAATGTAGTGCTTTGAAATTTCATCAGCTGTGTAAACTGTCATTAACACCTCCTACCTAGCACAAAAAGTTACCAATAAAGTCACTTCTTGCTATGGACTCTCTTCAAAGGAGGCTCCAAAAAAATGTCCAAGGTAATTCTTCTCACACCCATCCGCTCCTCCTCAGGCCCCATGCTCCAGCCACCGAGCCTTCTTTCTGTTTTTTTTTTTTTTTTTTTTTTTTT